GCTCTGAGATGCAAAATATCACTGCCCCACGTTCTGGGCTCAGTGCTGCCAGCCAGGGGCCTAAAGAACAGTGTTTTAACAACTGTTGCCCAGAGTGACTTTCCAAAACTGTTGTTGCCATTAGGGTTGTAGGAATTATTAAGCAAGCCTGGCTGGGTAGAAAGGTCAAGAAAAGCCTGAGGCAACCCCAGATAAGAGATCTAACCATTTGTGGAGGTGCAAAGCTTTGTCCTATAAAGGCCTAGGTTTCCAGTCTCCTGTAATTCAAAGCCCAGTTTTTAGGATCATTGTGTAAGGGACCCAATGGTTGATTTTTGGAAATGGGCTGTATTTTCAAATAATGTCTGTCATGAAACTAGAAATGCTTTCACTATGGAAAAAAAAAAGAACCCATGCTAGACTATATATATATATATATGAAGGTTTCAGTAGTTATTTTCAAAATAAGGCCACAACTGTTATTTCATATGCAATGATCCCAGTACTAGAAAATGGTTTCTTTCTTGATTTTAATTTAATAGATGAACCAATTAAGTAATCCTTTAAATATAGTATGTTCCATTAATGTGTCATTTTTATTACAAGATACATTTCTTAAAAAGAAACTAGCTTGATAGGATATGGGGTAAACTTGGCTATATTTGTATGGAGTCTGTGCATAATTTTCATTGCTATCCACATCTCATTTGATGTAATATTTAGTTAATCTCAATTAACTGAGAACTCTAAATAATTGGAATCATTTGATACAATTAAGTTTAGAATGAATGGGGCATAATTCATATTTCTTATTTAAGACATATTACAAAAACAAATACATTGTCATAAATCTGATTTGGGTGTGAGACAAAGGAAAGGAAAAGAACTCAAGTGTAGGTTTAAAAGGGTTGCATTGTAAAGGAACGTGTGAAAATTGGGATGAATGTCATATGCATGTTTTTTTAAATTTCTAATAAATGTATACATCAAAATTAAACATTTCTTAGTTAAGATTGATCCTTTTTTTTTAATTGCTGGCTTTAGAGATCATAGGTCTCCAGAATGCAAGGCCTATTTTAAGGCAACTCCACTTCACCTGGAGGGCTTGATAGCACATTCATATCTATAACTGGTCCTAACTCCAGTCGGTCATTCTGTGGATCTGGGACAGGACCCAACTATTCCCATTTTTCATACCTTCTCATGGCATGTGGATGGCTAGTGTGAGAAACAGGGAGTTCAAAAAAATCAAGTAGTAGAGTATCTGAGGGAGATAAAATAAGTTGATTTACATTTTAAATCTACAGCAGTTACCAGTTACCTACCATGTGCTCATTAAAAATGATTTAGAAAAATGATACAACCACTTTGTTCAGACCTACCTTGTGCAGGGTTTTATTTTTAATGCAACTTCAACAAGCATTTAGCTGTTTTCATTTTACAATAGTCAGGATCCAAAATCCACCCGTGCTCAAGTCCCTTTATATAAAAGGGCATAGTATTTGCATTTAACCTAAATATATCCTAAATCATCTCTAGTTGATTTTTAATACCTAAGAGAATGTAAATAGTTGTTAAACTGTATTGTGTCAGGTATAATGACAAGAAGAAAAGTCTGTAGTGTGCAGTACAGGGTTTGTTTTATTTCCCCCTCCAATTTTTGGTTGGTTGAATCTGCAGATGCAGAACCCCCAGATAAGCAGGGTTGAATATATGGAAGACATTACTAAATACATAATTATTACAGAACCTCAGCCTTAGATAGATCCTGAGGGACTAGCCTTCCTGTTAAGACAGGGAAGTAGGCATTCTTCCTTCTGCAACCATATCATTAATTTAATCTGGAATCCTTGCATTTTCTCACTTGGGAGCCATGCCTTCCACTTGTGTAGACAGTACTTTTTTGGCCCTCTTACCCTGGGTGCCCTGCCCCAACTTTGGAAATGACCCCTTCTATCCCTCCTTACCTGTTGACTCACTTATATGGGCTGCTTCCACTGCTACCCACCTGTGCTGCATGGGTTCCAGCCAGGAGGGAGGTCCAGGTTCATGCAGAATATTTATCTAAGTCACCTAAGGAAGATAGTGGATTACCTGGCTGTGGCATGTTAAAAACAAAATGGAGGTTCCTGGTAAAAATAACACAGAAGGAATGTGCAAAAGCTTAAAACTCAGTAGCGGGGAGGAGAAAACATGCATTTGGTAGCTTGGCACTGTGATTTCATGCTCTTGTGTTTCATTTTAGCCTTTTTCCCCCTTTTCAAAACTCTGTGCCTTTAATTTCAAGTATTCTGTCATCGTCTGGTATAATATCATTTGATCTGAAGAATTTAATTACTTGTTTAGATCCTTCTTTATTCCACGGAGGATTTAGGATGATTTTATCTAAATTGTGAAGAAAAGTGGCTGTCTGTGCAGTACCCTACAGATTTATAATCCTCCATCTCTGTATGTTTTAAATTAAAAGCTCTATGACATTTTAAGCTTTAAATAAACACTGTTTAAACCATGTTAAAAGGATGTAGCTATTTTTCTGTCTTTGGAATTTGTACTTCCACGTGTCTTTCTTCCTCCTCATACACTTTCCTTAGCAGCAGCCTGGGAAAATACCTTGGTCTTCATCTGGCACTGCTCCTTTCCTTTGCTTTTTTCACTCTTCCTCTCTGACCTACTAGAAGAAAAATTCAAGTTAAGAAAGTATTTCTTTGGCTCCTCTCCCTCATCCCCCTATGGAAGAAGAAAATGAAAGAATGCATTATTGGCTGATCCTCCTTCCCAAAAGGTTTTTTTACCTTTCTGCTGCTGAGAAAAGTGTGAGACCTCCTTTCCATTAAGTAACTTCTTTAGAGAAACAGAGTGCAGCATGGACCCAGAACACCTCCAGTTATTCCGATTATTGTCTAAACAGCAGCTTCTTGTACTAACCCAGAAGACTTCTTATAGTCCTCTTCTCTTTTGTACCCATAAAAGGGCATTGATTCCCCAACCCAAGGATCATGTGTTAGCAATTTCAAGTACCCGAAAGGGTGAAGTGTTTGAGATTTCTTTTGTGCCGCTTATAGCATCACAATATAATAAAGCCCACAGCTGAAAAGCAAAGAAAAAGATAACCAAAGTGCTGAAGATGAAATTGTACCTGATTATAGGCTGTGGGTAGTTTTACCAGGAAAAGCAGAGAAAGAATGAAGGAAAGCTCATTTTGCTACAGATAATTGTCAAAGCCAAGGAACATCCTTCCAGAGACTGAGTCCAAGACCAGCTAAGGGAAAGAAGTTTTCAGGGTGAACTCTTTGACACCTGGAGGAGGTTATGGAGTGTGGAGAGCAGGACCAGCAGCAAAGCTTGGGGAAGAGACAAGTTCATACCAACCATCCTGTGCTGATTCCACAGTGGGGAGGGAGACAAGGGACTGTTTCTTCCTCATTCCAGGAGAAGGGCCTGAGAATTCCCAAAGCAAGTGCAGTGAGCCCTGGAACCAGAGGGAAAGCCTGCACTTGGGCGGCATCCAGAAAAGGCACAGCTGAGGCACCCTTCACAATCAGTGAGCCCAGTCCTTTGAGTACAGAGCGCTAAGAGCCAGAGCAGATGCATCTGGAGCAGCCACAACATGTGCGTATGGTAGAGCATGTGGGTCCCTTGCAAGAGACCTCTGCTATAAGAGAACCACCCTTCTTCCTTTGGGTCACTCAGCAGTTTTACAGAAAGCTGGTGGATAGGATAGACTGCTCATGTCCAGTGTCCTCACAGGCGTATTCTCCCCTTCTGTGAGAAAGATGCAACAAATGCTGGCACAACAGTTGCAGTGATGCAAAAGAGATAGCACACTCTTTCATCAGCCACCTGACCTCCCTCTTTTCTCTAACCACTTCTCACCTTACAAGATGTGAACCCCATTTTCAGCCTGCCCTGTCGCAAGACAGACCTGGGCAGAGGATTTTTCAATCACCTTATAAATATTCAAATTCAGTTAATTTAGGAACTGTTATCTTAGTATCTGTGGGGGGTATTTGTTCTAGAACACTCCCTGCAGATACGAAATCCACAGATGCTTAAGTCCCTTATGTAAAATTACATGGTATTTACATAGAACCAATATATATCTTTCCATATAGTTTAAATCATCTGTAGATCACTTGTGATACCCAATGCAGTGTAAATGCCACGTAAGTAGTTGTTATATGGTGTTCTTTAGGGAATAATAGCAAGAAAATGTATTCTATACAAACACAATTATTTCCTAATATTTTTGAGCCATGATTGTTGAATCTGAGGCTGCAGAACCCACAGATATGGATAGATGACTGTATGTGCCACATCTGATACTGTAATATCCTATACATCACTGGTATTAGTACTATTATTATAGTTTTCCTGTTCACCTTGTGTGTAACAGAGACACTGGGAGACTAGCCACATTGTAGAGGCTACATCCCCTTGTAAATGCTGAGCTGGTATCTAGTGCTCAGGCCAGCGTGCCACCATTCTAAGTACAAGTATACTTACCTGTACATAGGTATTCTGTTCTCACCTGGAAGCATCAGAGCAGCAGCATCCATGGCCAGCCACCTTAAGGTTAAGAGTCATTCCATGGAGGCAGTGAGGATGTCCCTAATAGCAGTGGGCCTCACGCCAGTCCATGTGTGCTGCTGCTGTCTTCAGCATGCATGAGGATTTTAGGCAGTGATGTCATGTGCCATGGGATAGAATGACTATCATTGTGCATATTTAGATTGTGTCCATGGTAATACAGAAGACAGAAATATAGACTTCATTTCTCTGATGTCTACCTTTCCAGATCACAACTCCACAGATAACTAGCAAACTGAGAGGATGCTACTGCGGCATCTAAGTGAGGATGACCTTCAAACATTTCCACTGTTTGATTAGGTCTCTACCAAAGCTGTTTGTCCTGGAACGTAACCCCTGTGCTGTGTACTTATGCTAATTGGATACAGATTTTGTGTTAGAATAGTCCGTACTCTAAAAAAAAAACTCTCTTTATTTCATTTTTCTCTCTGCAGATACTGAACGGCTCTATTCGGTGGTTTTTCAAGAAATATGTGGCCGCTATGGACAGAAATACACCTGGGAAGTCAAGTCCCTGGTTATGGGAAAAAAGGCATTAGAAGCTGCCCAGATCATAATAGACGTCCTGCATCTCCCGTTGTCCAAAGAGGCACTGGTGGAGGAAAGCCAAATGAAGCTAAAGGAGCTGTTCCCCACAGCGACACTCATGCCAGGTGCAGTCTGTGTCTCCTTGTTGTCTTCCAGGTCATATTTGCTAATATTAGCAAGGTTGTAAATTGCTTTGAAGTCCAGAATGCTTGATTTATCTTCCTGTGTGTTGTTAAGTCTCAGTGCTGCAGGACACCACTGTGGGATGCTGTGACTCAGTCTTCCCTTTAAGGGCTTCTTAAAACCTTATGTATTTAGTTCCCTGATATATGGGGTCCAAAGACATTTGAGTTTTGTGTATATCAATATTCCTCTTTCTTTTGTTTCTTTCTCTCTCTCTCTCCCTCTCACTCCCTCTCACTCCCTCTTACTCCCTCTCTCTCCCTCTCTCTCTCTCTCCCTCTCTCCTTCTTTCCCTCTCTCCCTCTCTCCCTCTCTCTCCCTCTCCTCTTTTGGCAGTTCTGGGGATGGAACCCAGAGCTTCACACCTGCTTGCTAAGCAAGTACTCTTATACCCCAAGCCCTTTATCAATAGTCTATAAAGATTACATTCATGATGGAATTGCTTCAGAGTTTAACTTCAATAGGTAGCTTTGCCTTTTTCTTTTCATAACTAGATATAGGATAAGTATTTCACTGACCATTTAAACTTTAACAAACAAATTGATATGCAGCTAAATCTCCCCCAAAGAAGCTAATTCATTTGTAGTATAGTTGCTTGATTGTGTGTCATGCAGTTCTGTTTTTGTTTGTTTGTTTGTTTGTTTGATTTTTGAAATACTGGTGATGAGATGCAGGGCCTCACATATGCTAAGCAAGTGCTCTACAATTGAGCTACAACCCCAGCCCCAGCCATTTCTTGACATGTGTCTGGTTTCTCTTTGAAAGGTAAGAAGACTTTCTTCCTTGTTACTTGTTAGCTGTGGTTCAGTCAGATCCAGCTTGCATGCTAAAAGTGAAAAGGTCAAAAGATATTCTAGATTACAGGCCAAAAAATGCTTTGAAATGGAATATTTGAAGATTTTTTTAGACAATAAGGTGAGTACTCTGTCTTTAGAATTCCTGGCACAAGAAATTTAAAAAAGTAGCAATGGCAACCTTAATTTTTAATTGTGGATGTAAAATTGTATTTATATGAATTTTAAGGTGCATGTTATTTTTTATATTTGTATACATCCAAACATACAGGTAAAATGTTCTGGGAAATAGAGAGTATTCCTGCAAGGACCTTGCTAATGACAAGGCTGGTGTCACATAGAAACTGTGGGCTGATCTTGGATCACAAACACACATACCTATGTGATCATCCTACCTATATCTGCTGCAGATGGAAGTGTCTGTGACTCTTAGGCATGGGTACTAGCGCCATGGTACACAAGTCTCTGTGTCTTTATCTCTCTGTGCCATTTGCATATCTAGTAATCCTGACAAGTCTGTATGAAAACACATATGTACAGTTAATAGTTACATACTTACTTTTGGCTAGAAAACATAAAAGCAAAGCATGTAGCATCAAATGTACCATCTTTCCACTGTTGTGTAAAGTTCAGTAGTGTTGGGTGTGTTCACATTGTCATACAGCAGCTCTGAAGAATTCTTTCATCTTGCAAATCTGAAACTGACACCCATTTAATAACAGTTCCCTATCCCACCCCTACCCCATCCTCTGGTAGCCACCATTCTCCTTTCTGCTTCTGTGAATTTGATTACTGTGGGTACCTCAAATGAGTAAATCATGTAACATTTGTCTTTTTGTGACTGGCTTATCTCACTGAACATAATGTCCTCAATATTATTCCATGTTGTAGCATGTGACAGGCTATTCTTCCCTTTTGAAGTTGTATAATATTCCATTGTATATATAGCCCACACTTTATTTATTCATCTGTTGGACATTTGGATTGCCTCCAGTTCTTAGCTATCATGAGAAACACTGTTATAAACATGGGTAATCAAATGTCTCTTTGACCTTCTGCTTCTAATTCCTCTAGATATTGACCCAGAAGTGGAATTGCTAGATCAGATAGTAATCCTGTTTTTACTTTTTTTTTTCTTTTAGTATCTGTCACAGTGACTCCATCATTTTTTATTTCTACTAACAATGCGCGGCTGTTCCAATTTTTCCAGTTTCTCACCAACACTTACTATTTTATGGGGTTTTTTTTCTTTCTTTTTTTTTTTTCAAACTAGGGTTTGAACTTAGGGCCTACATCTTGAACCACTCCACCAACCCTGTTTTCTTTGTGTGTGATGGGTTTTTTCGAGATAGGTTCTCATGAATTACTTGTCTGGGCTGATTTCGAACTGCAATCCTCCTGATCTCTGCCTCCTGAGTAGCTAGGATTACAGGTATGAGCCACCAGTACCCGACTTATTTTATGTATTTTTTGAAAGCCTGAGTTGATATCTCATTGTATTTTTGGTTTGTATTTCTGTAATGATTAGTGATGTTGTACATCTTTTTCATATGACTTTTGGCCATCTGTTTATCTCTCTGAAGAAATGTCTTTTCAAGTCCTTTGACCATTTTACAATTTAGTTGTTTGTTATTTTGTTGTTGAATTGTAGGAGTTTGATATATATTCAGAATATTAACTCCTTTTCTAACATGTAACTTAGGAACATTGTCTTCCATTCTCTAGGTTGCTTTTTCTCTCTGTTGCTCATGTCCTTTGATGTGCAGAAGCTTTTTGGTTTGATATAATCCCATATGTCAATTTTTGCTTTTGTATATGATTTTATAAGTGTGTATGTACTTATTTTAACTTTTTTACTAGCTTCTCAGTTTAGAGAAAGTAGTTGTCAATAATAAAAATCTGTCTTTGAAAATATGAGATCATATCCACACACCACAAAATTAACTGTTTTGACAGGAACACAAGCAAAACATGCAGAGGACTTACAGAGTATAAAGAGAGGACCCCAACAACCCTAGATAGGAGAAAATTAAAGTCATGCTGGGATTCTGGGTGACACAGTGCCTCAGTCAGAGAATGATACTTGGACATTCTGATAAGTCTTAGGATGTAACAGGATTATTGGAAGTTACATTTAATCTGAAGGGAAGGAATGTATAGAGAAAAAGAGAAGTAGAGAGGGAGGGAGGAAGGGGAAAGGAAAGGAAAACAAGAAAGGATGTTTTCAAACCTTTTAACCCGGAAACATGTATTTCCTTAAGATATCTAACTTTAAAACATACCAATCATAAGAAAAAGAGAATAATAAAATACTTTAAGCTCTCTGTCCTAAAAAGTTATGCTTTGGGACCTAGTTTTCATCCATTCTGCATCCCTCCCCCTCCTCTTTTATCTAAGCCAAACTTGGGTTCCTGTTCACTGGAAACGCAACCTGTGGTATCCTTGCTCCTTCCGGTGATCACATTGAGAAAGTTTCCACTGTCTTCTTTCCGAGTCTGGCTCTTCATTTTGTTCACTTACTACTTGGTTCCAATTTCAATTGTAAGTGATAATATAATCCTTGACTTTATTTATTTTCCTTCTGAAAGTATCTGTAGTAGACAGCAGAAATCACTATGATCTTATTAGGAAAGATGGCCATCTGTAGACCGGGTGGGTTACTAATTCATCATTCTTCCTTTTCTCATGCTTTGCAACCCAGAGCAGTGGCCCACATGAGTGTTTAGCAAGTTAAATTGGAGGACTGAATGGTAGGTCCCCAGGGGAAGCAGGTACCTGATTGTTATAGGTGGGTATCTTTGCCTCATTATGATACAGGGACTTGTCTGTTAGGCCAGTCACCAAGGAAGCAGCCACCTGATCATTCTCTGGCGGGGGGGAGGTGTATCTTTACCTGATGATGCAGAGTCTTGTTTGCCTGGACCAATCACTAAGAGAACAGATCTCTGATTATTCTGTGGCGGTGTATCTGCCTAATTATGAGGCAAGGGCTGTCAGCCTGGGCCAGTCACTGGGGGAAAAAACACTGAGTCATTTCTTGTGAGTTTTCTGGGATTTTTTAAATAGGTACAGTATTACAACTTGAAGTGGATGTAACATTTAAAGAAAAAAATCTTGATTTGGAATATCAGAAACTCTTTTTCAGAATATAACCCATGAAGGGTGTTCATTACTTCTTATATTTTGAGCAGATCTCATTAATAAGGAATTCTTTTGGATGGATGAAGTAATTCACTTTGTAATAATTTAATGGGAGTAATTGGGATTAGAATACTACTAACAAGAATTTTGATTCATTTTATCCTGTGAAATGCCTCAGAAAGGTTTCCTCTTATCATGGCTCTGTGCTTTGTCGTCCATTTTCACATAGCCTGGCATCTGAGCCAGTGGAGAAAACTGAGGCGGGCTATGCCTACATCCTGACTGACCCCTCCATAAGAGCAGCCAGCTCTACAGAGGAGCACTTCAGCCTCACAGGCTCTCCCCTGAGACTTAGGACCCCAGCTTTCCCACCTAAACTCCCTGACTTTAGCTCACTCTCTTCCTAGTCTCTCTCCATCAGATTAGAGAAAATTAAACCCATGCTAGGATAGTAGGTCACACAAGGACTCAGTGAGAGGGTGCCACTTGGACATTAGAAACATAGAGCAGGAAAAAAATGATCACAGCTGTGGTCCAGAGTTTGGGACCCAAGGAGAAGCATGTGAGGAGAGCAAGCAGATCTAGCCATTAGTTGGGTGGGTAGGTCTTGTCCTAGCTCTGCATTCAGCTTGCCATGTATTTCTTCAACTCCAAGCGCCCTCCAGAAACAGGAAACTGACACATCTGTTGTGGAGTGCTATGCTTTGAATGTGTTTCATGTGTAGAAAATTGCTGATGTAATGTTATTAAGAGGTGGGACTTTTAAGACATATTCATGAGGATAGCCCTTGTGGATGAGATTAGAGTTCACTGACTGTACTATTCTGTCCTATGCTGCCTAACATTCCTTCCCTCTGGAAGACGCATCTACAGAGTGCCATCTTGAAGCACAGAGCAGCTCTCTCTCATCAGAGCATGACTAGCCAGCACCTTGGAATTCCCATCTCCAGAATTACAAGAAATACATGTCTGTTATTTGTAAATTGCTCAGTCTCAGCCAGGCCTAG